AGTTCTGAAAATTCCATTACTGGGAATGTTTGGACAATGTGGAGATGTATCTGATATTAGCAGTGGGATCCCAGCAGCGCGATAGTTTCCACATGTTAAGAGGTGCAGGGTGAGTGAGGAGGAGCAAGGCAAGCAAAAGGGATGAAGAAAACAAGTATAACTGTGTTTTCCTCAGTTAAGGGCAGCTGACTTGGGAACATCTCTTGCTGAGGACTTCCAATATCCTGAGCAGGTTCTTTGCAGGAATGGATCCTTCCCTCCTTACCTCTCCCATCACACTCAAGCAGGAGGCTCTGTGGTGCTGGCCAGGCTTTGTTCTCACTGAAGCTGCTGATTTCTCTCCTTCAGTGAGAATGAGAGTGGAGTCAAATCAATATTGAGCACCTTTGAAAAATCCCTCTCAGAATTCACTGTGTTTATTCAATTAAGTATTAATTATGGGAATTTTTTTGGCTAAAGAAAATCCCTTACTGTCATTTCATCAAAGTGTAGAGTATGATGTCTTACTTCCCCCAAATGTTCTCTGCTGTGTTTCATCTTCTGATGTATTTTTCCCACAGTTACAGTCTGTAGAAGAGAACTGCCTTTTTAAATATTATTCCAGAGATGAGAAAGGGTATAATTTCTAAACACCATACAACAATTTTGTTAAAGAGCCTATAACCTTTTTGTCAATATTCTAAAGGGATCGAAAAAAGAGTTGGGAACATCTGCAATTTAATAAATGAGACCAACAGAAAGAACAGATGAAAAGAATAAACATAACCATGAAGCTAGGTATGAGATCAACCTGATCCCTTCTCTACAAGGAGCTATAGAACTTTATGTTTGGAATATTTGTTTGGCTCCAACAAGTGACCCCTGATGTGACCAAAGAGAACTGTACTTGAGCAGTCAGCTGAGGGACTCAGGAGGATTTGGGCACCTACTGGGATGTCTCCCTTCAGGAGAATGAGGAGTGATTCAGGCCACCTGCTTGCTAAATTTTGTACATCTTACAAACAGTGGTGGAAAATAGCTGCTTTCTAAGAGTGGTAGAGAGGGTCCAGGACAGGTCTCTGCTCCTCTCCAGGCTTTTGGAAATGGTAGAAGGACAATGAGGCTAAAGAGAGATGCCTGTGAAACAGAGCCTTGTTTTGTGCATATACATACACGTGTATACACACAGGAATATGACACAGGGATCAAGAGTTATTACTTCTAATAGTGCCAAACTGCACCTCAGTAAAGCTGTGGGGCCGATTGCCCCTGTGAATGTTTGAGTTCCGCAAAAGCATTTTTATGTCATTTTCAAAGAACAGAGCAGGCAGTAAGAACATCATCTCAATACCTGAAGTACTTTAAATGTGAATTCAATATTATTTGTGTGAATTCTTCAAATTTAATTTCTAATGCAGTTAGACACCTACTTGGGAAATTTCCAGTCTCACAGTTTCAGACAGAGGTCTCTCTGGCCTGTTAGCTATAATGCAATCTCTCTGAGAAGGCTGTCAGCCCCTTGTTTTTTAAATACTTCCAGAGTCAAAGAAAGTCATAGCATCACCCCCCTCCCCTTACACTGATTTTTTTTTAATGGCATTTGGATTTTTCAAAAATACCTAGGGCCCAAGTCGGAGGAAAAATTCTTTATCAAGCAGAACTGCGTTTCCTAGAGGGTTTAATCCCATTTTAGGCAATTTCAGTAAGAAACTACTGTCTTTAAACATGTAGGACTAGTTACTGAAAAAACACCCACAGGAGGGAGCTCAGGGGCCTCTCTTTTCTCACATGAGGGACTGTCTGTATCACATCTCATCTTGAGCAAACCACAGGATGATCACAGCTGAACCAGCCTTTCTGTGGGGGAAGGCGGTGCCTGAAAGGTGAGGTGCAGTGAGGGGGGAAGAAATGACAAAGCCTTCTCATTCAAGTGCCAGCAAGAGGATGCTTTAGCAAAGAAAAAGCCCCAAAACATTATCTAAAAAAACTGGGCATTGTCCTCCCTGTTGTTCAATTTAAGAAGCACTTACACGGTATTCTGACTTGAAAAACAGAGCTTAAGTGTCCGGAGTGCTGTCAGACTCATGAATCAGGAAGCCAGTTCATCTCCAAGCACTATTTAAACTCTTTCTCACTATAAGCCAGATCCTGTAGTTTTTACCTGAACCCTCATTTTCATCTGCTTCAACACACCACCTGAATTTTACCTCAGGTAGCACCTGTGTGCTTCAGTCAGCACTTAGTTGCCTAAAATGCTGACAAAAAAAAAGTGTCAAAATATAGTTTTATAACTGACTTTGGTGCACTTGGTTTTGAAGAATAGCTCCTCCTTTTCTGACGAAGCCAAAAGGAGAATTTGAAAGTTTAATTCATTGTTTAATATCAAGGTCTAGCTATTTACAGGTATGTTTTCTCTTGTCATTCATAATTTCTGTTCTATTCTTTCCATGCATTTATTCAACTCAGCAGTTCAATTAGATAATGTTGAATTCACCTCAACATTTATGCCTGGCAACAGCCTTTGAGGTCACGAGGTGATGATTTCATTAGAGGAACCAAGCAGAAGTGCAGGGAATGTGGGGGGTGAGAGGGGGGAAAAAAGCTTTTGTCGAAACACAAATATCTTCTGTGAGACCTATTTGAGCAAATATAGCTTTGGCACTGTGTTAGCGAGGGGGATGTGGGAATAAGTACAGGCCAAGCTTTTTCTCACTGTAAGTATTCTCTTTTTTGCTAAATCTTTCAGGTATGGTCTCTGCTCTCCTCACCAGAGGACCACAGTCAGGGCCATGCTGTCCTGCCATGTCCCAGCCAGCCAGCCTAGCCATTTGCAGCCATGCAGGAGTGCTGCAAACTGCACCCAAATTTCATGTCACAGCCCCCTCATTTTGCACTGGCAGAGGAGACCAGTGGCAACCCATCCCAGGGGGAGGTGATGTTGGATATAGCAGTGACCCTCCAAACATTTCCAATTCCTTAGACAACTGCATAGCTCTACTTGTGTGCAGCAGCCTCTACACCCGTGCTTAGAGGTCATGCATATTTTGCAGTACAGTTATTTGGTTATCAAAGGTATTGCTGATGTTTCGGATAAGGACTGGAATTTTCTATATATAATTAACAGTAGGGGGTGGTGCTTTTTTGGATAATGAGATCTTTAGATGCTGGAGGTTGAAAGAGAGTGGAAAAGGGACGCACATATAATCTTTCATATAAAGTAGTCTGGTGTTAATGCCCAGCTCACGCTCCCTTTGCTCATCCTTTGATGTTCAGACCAGGCATCAGATGTGAGAAGAATGACTGACAATCCTGAAACAGTGCATGGTGTCTAATGAGCTCACCGGAGCTCATCACTCCTGGGTTTGACATTTTAATCTGAGCCCCTCAGCTTCCAGCACTTTGATTCACCCTTTTGTTTGCCCACAGCTCTGTGTCTTTGAAAACTGGCCATCTCCAGAAGACAGAGACAGTCCTTCCCATGAATCACAAACCTCTTTAGCTGGTGTATGCAGTCGTACCTGTCCCTCATCCCTTTCCACTACTGATTGCCATCCTACTCTAGGATTTGGCTTGCAAGGCCAGTGTCTGTCACTTCTGCATTCACACCCCATGCATATTCACAGTTAGATGGCAGAGGCAAAGGAATTTGGTTTTGCCTCACCAGCCACAGGAACTCCAATGTAGACCACAGGAGGACAGCAACTCCAGCGTAACCACAGGAGGACTGGCCTTGGGAGTTCCCTGCAATGGCAGTGTGCATCCTTGAGCTCCTGCATATGGCATTTGCTGCAGACAAACTGGATGGTGCTGAACAGATGGACTGAACCCTATTCTTGGATAGGACTCCCCATCCTTACCATGGGGCCCTGCCAGACGTTGCTGTGCGTGGGAGAAAATCCAGCCTATCCCAGGGAATAACTGTGAGACTATGCATGCAGGGGCTACAGACCATGAATCCTTACACGGCAGAGGTTCTCTCAACACCTTCATGACTTTCTGTCAAAACAATGGCTCCGCTGGTTTTATGTGAACATCACAGACATGCTGCTGTCTGACTGGATGTGCTGCCATTTAAGAAGAGAAGAACTGAAGCATTAGACAAGAACAATTATATTGTCTCCTTGCAGACTCAAGAGACTGTGAGTGAACCTTCCTTAACATCTCATGTTAATGGAGGAGGGACAGAGTTTCTCTGCAAATACCAAATGCCATTCCCAGACTTCGGATCCCCTGTTATTTCGAGATCCTTGTACCCTACCGAACGCTTCAACTCATTCAGCTCCTCGAGGCATTTCTTTCTGCAATGGTCCTGCAGGGGAAAGCAGCTCATGGCTTCACTTCTTGCAGAGAAACACTGGCTACCCATGCTCTGCAGCACCTCACAGCTCTGATGTGCAGCACCTCACAGCTCTGATGTCCTGGCTGTAGGACAGCTTCTCCTACAGATTGTGGGCTTGTGCTAACCCCACCTCAGCCTCTTACATCCTTGTGTGAGCACAAAGGACAAGTGGGCATAGGGACCAGCTGCCAAGCCAAGTGGTGAGTCAGACAGGACACCAAGTAGCAACGGATCATTAAATAAATTGAAACACAGCCCTTGTCACTGAATGGGTAACAATGGGACTCAGACTCTGCCTTAAACTTCCTACAGGGACATCGGTGTGATTCCCCTGTGTTTGGGATTGTCTGCCTTTAAAAGGCAAAATAGTATTTGCTCAATGGCCTAAGAGCTGTATATGAAAATAAGTCCTAGTTTTAGTCATCATTTTGGTGGCTCTGGTTCTGTACATAAATATGTCTAAGTTAAGTTAAGAAATGTTTCCGTTTAGTATGTATTTTTATATTAGATGGCTTTTGTGACAGATGTGATGTGTCACCTTTCTAGGCTTTTAGAGGGTAATAGTGAATCTCATGACCTTTCACTTCTCAAGAGTCACTCAAACACTGAACTCTGATGACATATGGTGCAAATAATCATTTCAGCTGGTTAGGGCTGGATATTCCCAGCATGGTATTTCAGATCCAGTTCACTTTTCAATGGTTTATTTATAATTTCTGCTAAACCACAGTTAAAGTCATCCAGCACTTGGCTGCTAGATCAGTAACACATGACCTTTGCCAACAGCACAGTTTGTTTTGAAGGCCAGTATAAGTAGGAAACTGAGAATAAATTGATAGGTTAAGAGGTTGTATGTGGGAACTGATGCCCATCCTCTGTCCGAACGTCAGCTTCCAGAGCTCAGTGCTGTCATCCAGCTGACCTCCCTCTCTGTTCCCCTGCTGCCCATGGCCAGCAGTAAAAGCTCTGTAGTCAGATCTGAGCCTGAAAAAGAAGAAATTCTCAAAAATATCCTTTCAGAAAAAAAGAAAGGTTTCTCAAAAACAAGTCCTTGCCCTTTCTCCTTCGTACACCGTGGTACCAGCATCCACCATCCAGCACCCCAGGGTATTTTACACTTCAGCTCTCGGATTCATTCCAGCCTGGTTAGTCCTGTCCTTGCTGCAATCGTGTGCTGGGAGCATCGGCTTGGCTCTGGATTGTTTCTTGGGAGTCTTTCCCATCGGCAGCACGCCAGTCCCCTCCCTGCTGTGGCACCCCGCCCCTAGGAGTTGCACTCCTCGCAGTGGCAGGAGAGGATGTAGCGGTAGGTGGCCGTGAGCCGCATGCCCCCCGAGCACCGCAGCCTCATGGCCTTCAGCTTGGAGGTCTGGGGGCGGCAGCAGTGGCAGGTGGAGCGGAAGGGTTGCTTCAGCACCGCGCTGAAAGAAACCAGCGGCTCCGAGCGCGACGTCTGACTGCAGCGCCCCTCGCAGCGAGCCAGCAGCACCATCTGCAAAGGAAAAGAGACACGGGTTAAGGAAACGTGCCCCCTCTCGGCTGCTAGGGCACAGGGAACACCAGCAGATGGCTACCTCCTTCCAGCCTGGCTGGTTTTTTGTCACAGCATCCCACCACCCCGGTGAGGGCACCCCAGCCCCACGCAGCACTTTGGGTCTGAGCTGTGTCTGAGAGAGCAGAGGAGATAACATGGGCAGGAGGAAAAGCAAGGACTCCTCCTGGAGTCCCTGGCACTGACACCAATGAGGACAACAGGACCTAGAGTGACCTCAGGGCTCCAAATGATCACAGCCAGCCTCGCTTTCCAGACGCTGTGGCTGCAACTGTGACTTGCTGACCCCAGATTTGGGTCAGCCAAGCTCTTAAATCATCAGCCAGACTGATACTTCAGTTTTCCAGCGTTTTGAGCGTGTATACTAGTGGAAAATGTCTCAAATTCTTAGATACATAAACACATAAAGTAGAAATATAAAGAAGATGCTCAGTTTATTGCTTTAAAGAAGTTTCTAGCCCCCTCCTTTTACAAAGGTCACCTTGAATATGTATTTGCAATTGTATATGTGCATATATATTTATATAATCACATCAGTTGTATCTGTATAAAATGCATTGCATGGCATAAGGCAGTGCAAATGTAAAAAAAAGATGAACTTGTTGCCAAACGTGAGGGTTCCTTAGTGAGATTTTCCAAAAGCAGTGCAGGCTCCATGTTTCTTCTCCTTCTGAGTTCACCGTTTGAGCTGTGACCATAACAAGGAGGCACTAAGGAAGGAAAGTCCATGTACAGTCACCTACTCCCCAACAACCCTTTATTGAGCAGAGGAGATGGATAGAGCACTAAGCACTATATAAATCTTGGAGAGGATCCTCTGAAGCTCAGGAAGTTATGTGTTAGAAACAGCTGTTCCCACCCTGATAATGGGTAAGTGTTGTACAAGTTTGAACAAACCCTTACACTTTCATGGGGACAGAAATATTTAGTCCATATCAGCTAATTCTGCTTAACCAACATAAACATCAAAATCAGCTTATTATGTCATCCAAAGTAGGTAGTGAAACAGTTGTCTTTCCTATAATTAAGGAAGAACATTACCTTTTAACCATGCTGCACATATCTCATGGGTTTTTTCCAGAATATCTGAAATGATAACTACAGATGTGACAGCAAATATTTTGCAGCGTTAAACCCTTTTGGGCCTCTTTCACTGCACATGTTCAACTGACTGCAAATCTCCAAGTCATGCAAGCAGGTATGTCAAGTGTTAGATTTTCTCTTTAGTCAGAATCATAAGGAAAGACAGGATAAAGACATTTCCTACCAAGCAGGAAATGCCAGCACTGTCTGTGTCCATGGGGAAAGGCTCTGATCATCCATTGTACAGTGCTTAAAAATTACTCTTCCAAGGGAACTTGCATGCTAAGTGGTTTGCTTAGAAATGTATTCATATATTAACAACTACAGTCCCAGTCAACACAGAGAGATCACGAGGATTATGTCTTCATGAGCTGATGATCTGTGGTTGATACCATCTTGTTTCTTGGTTAAATTAAGAGATGGGTTCTTGTTGCTCTGTGACAATTTTGCTATCCTTTATGATTTGTAGCATAAATTTATAATCTCCTTCCTGTGATATTCATAGACAAATTAACTGCAGCTGTTACTAGTAATATTGTGGGAAGGAAATTTCAGTGAGATGTTGAGTCACACCCAAGCTTTAGCTATGTCAAGCTCCTTAACACCAGTGTCTTTAGAGTATGGAGAACAGGGGAACAGACAATCCTTAAAGTGCTAGCACCCCATTAATGTCAGATAAAGATCCATTTATTTTCCCAGGCAGACAGCTGCTGAGGGTATTTCATTAGATACCAACTGCACAGGTATCTAATCCTGCCTGCCTTGCAAAGGAAAGGCAGCAAATTGGGACATTTAAACCAGTTGGTTTCTTTTCCAGCATCTTGACAGCTCTTGTTAGGTCCCCTGCTTTGACCAGTTCACCAGATCTCTGTCACAGGCTATTCCCAAAGATTTGGCTGAAGAGGAGGGTAAAGAGCAATCCAATGGCAGCTGAGAAATGCTTGAAGGTTGCAAAGGCAACAGAGCAGAACTCTGCTCAGGAGTGGCAAAGGGGGATGTGCAGCAGCCAGAAGTTGCTTTTTCAGAGGTTCAGAGGAACTACAGAGTCCCTTCCAACCAATCATTTCTATAATTCTGTGATTTCAGCCCAAATATGACAGTGTGGCCAAGGTCACTTCTAATGGCCAACGCTTCTGAAGCTGGAACAGCCAGCCTCTTCTGGTACTGCTGCCCTGAGGGCTTTTCATGGCACACATCTGCTCCTGTATCTGCAGGTATTTTCAGAAATGCCGGGGGGAAAAAAAACAAATCCCCAAGAAACAGAATTAAGGGCTACAGAAATTTGTAGCAGTGTCATTATAGGGTAGAATTATCTGATGTGTCCATATCTGTATCTCAATATAGTTGCTTTCCTAATGCAAACACAGCCAATATTATTCAATGTACCACTGCATTTATAATTGCTTAGCAAGCCTTGTCTTTAAAAACTTGTCTTAGTCTGCAGAGGCTTAATTTTGATCTCAAATTTTGCTGGCTGTTTAGTTTTTTGTAAGGTGATGGTCAGTATTCATATAATGTAACATTACAGAGTTGGGTTTATGCCCTGTTTTTGGATGACAGTGTAAGCTCTTACAAATGGCACAGCACCCAGGGTATCAAGTCAAGCTTTCAGGATTAAAAAAATCCAAAATTCCCATTCTTATAGCTTTTTAACCCTCTGGGCTAACCTGAAGTCCTCAGCAAAATTTAACCTTCTCCTCCTCATAAATCCAGAACAGCACCAGTGGATTCTGGCAGGTGTGCAAATGAGCTGGAAATAGCATGTACTTTAAAAGCTTTGCTTTGCCATTTAATCAATTGCACCAGCTGCTTATTGCGTAGTGTACTACAGTGCAATAGAGATTATCACCTAAATAATTAGTAATGCTGTAGTGGCATAGCACAGTAATACAGGGGGTGTATATATAGTAAAAACATGTGGGTATTTGTATTTTATAACCTGATACATGTGCCTCTTGGCTCCCCTCATCCCCTGCACATTTGAACTTTTGTGTGTCACCTTGTGATGCTGGATCCAGAAGAACAGAGTCCTACAACAAGGGGACCACATGGATCTATGAGCAGCCATGAAAGAATAGGTTTTCTTACTTAAAGTCAACAATCTCATAGGTACAAAAGAGGGCAAACTGAGGCAGTATTTGATTCTGATCCTTTGAGCTGTATTCTGGAAATCCAGAAGCTGTGAACTGGTTTGTTATTAATGGTGTTTGTAGTCCTCTTTTCTTCACTCTTCAGCAACAGCAGATGGGCTGAGGCACATGAGAACAGATTTTCACGCAGTATCCATGGCCTGGCTGCAAGCAGGCATTACTGAAAATCTCCTGAGCTACCTCATGAGTCTTCAAACATCTGCTAAATCTCTCTTCATCTGGTCCGTGTCTCTCTGGGCTGGATTCTTTAGTGCGAGGCTGTCAGTGGTATCACACTTCTGGCACATCTGGACAAAGCACTTGTGACAGCCAAAATTGTAATTTAGGAGGCTCTGGTTGCAGCAGAGAGGCAATCCAGCACATGGATGAAGACCAGTGGGTTTCTGTGACAGAGGTCAGGCAGAATCCAATACGGTCAGGAAAGACAATACCTCACAAACTGATACAAACATTTCCTTGAAGTCAAAGGAAAACACTGTTTTTCAGGAGCAAATGGCCTTCTTCCATCCCTCTTTTGTGTCTCTTTTATACTGTAATGGACCATGTTTCTGAAGGCTTTGGAAAACTGATTTCATCACCTGCCTGAGGCCACAAGCAAAAGGGATTTTAATGATTAAATTATATTGGCTGGATGTTTAACAAAACTGCTTCCCATGTGGATACTATTGGCAGCCTCCACAGAGAAGCACAGAGGACATAATCCTTTTTTAATCAGGATGGACAGCAAATATAATATATCTTGCAATTTCTGAGGTAATTTTTGTCTTCTGTAATTCTGTGCTGCACTGAGAGGGAAAACATAAGGAGTAAAAAAGGATGTCTCAGTGAAAATAGTATATCACCCCTAAAAAGGGCAAAGTCTCTGCTTGACATTGTCAGCCCAAGCTTGACAATGGAAACTTGGTGAAAACAAAAAGTACCACAATTCCCACAGCTACTCCCACAGAACCTTCCATTTTTTTACTTGTTTATATTTTATCACTATCTCTCTATATATATGTATGTGAACAGACATTACATCTAGTTTTCATTAACAACTCTAATATTCATCTGTGTTTATATGCTAGATCCAGAACAGAAGTCATATGTCTACCAGAATGATTCAGATCCCTGAGACCTTAAAAAAAAGAGTTTAATTTAATAGAGTCTTCTAGGAAATGTCAAAATTATTTCACTTTTTATGGAAACTGTTTTCATTTTCTGCTTCATGAGAAAGTCCACACAACTTGCAGTATTGTTTAAAAAATGTTCTTGAAACCATTACGGAATTTGGGAAGCCAAAAGATGTGATAATATTTTCAAACGTAATTTCCATTAAAGGCTTGATTTAAAAAAATCACCAACTTTTTCAGCCAGAATTACAAATGTTTATGTCAACAGCTCTTTTTCTCAAAGTTCAGTTTTGAAATAATATGGTTTTCATTACAGTGCGTTCTGTATTCTCATTTCCATCTAACCCTCTATCTGTCATCTGTGGCAGTCAGAGTTTTAAGAAAAACCCAGAGGGTGGTGGTGGCAATGCTGGAGCAGAGAAGGTGGGCACTCAGTGACCCAGTGGCACATCCCAACCACCAGGCAGCACATTGACAGAGTCCTGAGCAGATCAAAGCTCCTGAACTCACAGACTAGGGAGCAGACCCCACTTAACACAACTATCCTAAAAGCCTCCACCAGGACAACCAGATGAGGAGCAAAAGCCTTTGGACTCTGGCAGAGCAGGGAGTGGAGGGCGAAGGCAGCTGGGCAGAGCATTGCCCTCCTGGACAAAACCACCAGGATAGCTGAGGGTCCTCAGGTCTAGCCGGTGATCTGAAGTGCTCAGAGAAGGGAGGACTTGGAGCACCCATATACCATTAAGTAAAACCCACCCACATACCTACACTTATGAGCTTTGCCTCTTGTTGGAGCCAACTGCAATAAAATCAATATTGCACAAAGAGTTGCACCTCTGCAGTCCTGTGTGTTAAAGCCGGATGTTTCCCAGACCATAAGAAGATCTAGTCTAAGCTAAAAGCAAATCAAAAGACCTCTCCTGAACCACAAGTAGTGCATGATTTTACTGTTTGGATTTGGAAGCAGCAGGGCAAAAATCTGTGGGTTCCTAATGCTGTGAATCAGGCAAAGTGAGGCAGACAGCACTGCTGAGAGATCACTGCAAGGCAGCCCAGAGCAGGGCTTTTCCCTCTGCCCAATTTTGAGGCCTCTCTGGTAAGCAGGCACAGGAAAAGCCTGGCTGAAGGGGCATGGCCAGGGCAGCAGCTGTCCTGGTGCACGGGGGGGGGGGCACAGAGCACCGAGCAGGTTGTATTTTCTGTTGACACTTCTCTCTGTGCTTCATTTTAAGTTTTATGATCTGCTGCTACCTATGGTGTTGCCTCACCCCAGCACCGACCACGGGAAGCAATGTGCCTTGCTCTGCACACAAAGCATCCGGGGGTGTCCGCAGCCAGTGCTGCATCCATCTCAATGGCTTGCATCCTTTCTCCTTGTTAATGCTCCCAGGATCCCTGTTGCTGGAGTTTTCCATCAGGCAGCATGGCAGGCACCCCTCTTGTCCTAAACCCTGTCACATATCTGCCTCTCATCACCCTCTTGCCCAACACAGGGCTGGCAGAAGCATTGGCTCTGGCAGTTATTCCCTGAATGTACAGACTGTATTAACCCAGATGGAACAAATTAGGACAGGACTAAAGGGACCAGTGAGGATTTTCCCATTGTTTCCCCCCATTCTTCTTCTCCGTGCAACGAAATAAATGGCTGTAGGCTACATGCGCAGGCTCCTAAACCGTTTTGACACAAAACTTTCAGGCTTGAAATCCCAAATGAAAGGCAATTTTGTATTTCTGTCTGCTCCTAAGCCCTACAGTAAACACCCAAGTGTCATTCTGCACAAAAATAAAGACCTTGAAGTTAAGTGTGTGGCAGGGAGGAAATAAGCAATGTTCTTCACAGTCTTTGTTGGCTACCATTTTACAGCTTGGTTCTTTATCTCGGTGCTTCACCTCTGAAGTTACAAATTTACATGCTCCAGATTAAAGACTCGTTTGAAGGAGGGGGTGATTGGGATGGTGTAAACTTCCAAACTAGCCTGTCTCCTTGGCACCCTCAGCTGAGACCCCAAATGAATCCTTAGCATTCATCCTTAGACCCCTTTGAATCTTAGCATTTACTGCATGTGTGGCGTGTTTCTCCTTTTGAAAAGGTGAAAAGAGAGTCCCAGTTCTCATATGCACACAAGATGTCTCCGCATCCCTAAGTCTCTGAAACCTAGATTTTGGTGGATAGGAATTTATGCAGAGAAAATGACCCAGAATGGTCCATTTTAACAACCCCTCTGATGCAGCTGCTGCAAGGAGGTGAGGGAAGGCCTTACCTTGGAGCTACACTTGTAGAGGGGGTGGGTGATGGAGTCGACGTAGTGGTGCCTCATACAGCGGCTGGGGTCAGAGTCGATCATGAAGGAACTGTCTGTTTTACTGTCCGTGTCTCCCATCATCGCCAGGAGCGAGAGCATGGAAATCGAAGCCGCGAGTACATGATTTCCCATGGTCGAGGAACTTCTCGCTGGTAACAGCAGAGGGAGGTAGAGCATTAAAAAACCTCCAAATCCTGGAAGCCAGTTCCTTTCCAGGATGGTGAAAAGTCTGGTTTAAGTGTCTTAGCTGTCATTCTTCTTCTCGCGTTGGAGTTTGCCGAGATTGTAATCCATCAAAGGATCTCTCTGCGCAGCTGGGATAAAAGCAACATAAATCACAACCCTGACCAAAAAGACCGCTGGAGGAAAATAGACATAAATAATATTAAGGCACACAGGACCTTTGCTACCCAAAATATACGCTCTGAGTGATCATTGTTCCCACAGTAGGTAGAGAATATGGCATTAGGAAGGAGATGTCAAGGCCTTGTTAGTTTTAGCATTGCTCTATCCTTTCACTGGGGAGAACCTTTTGACTTTTGACATCACAAGTAATGCAATGCCAATCTTTTTCACTTGGTGATATGTTCCCCTCAAAACTGGTGAATGGTAACACATCGGAGATTTCTGCAGACTGAAAGGACTGTGTAACCACTAAAAGTGTCAAAGAGGGGCAAAACTAGGCTGCCTCCTGTATTACAGATGGGAATTTGTGGCCTAGGTAGCACATGGAAAGGCTGGAGGCAGGTTGAGCTGTGGCTCTAGAGGTTGCCTGTCAGTATCCTGCAGCTTCTGTTCTGCAGGGACAAGGGACACACCCAGGATGAAGGGGTGCTGAAGGTCCAAGCCCAGGTATAACCAAAGTGGTCCCTCAGGAAACTTGCTGAGCGTGGACCTGCACTGCATGAAAAACTAGGTTGCTGGCTGTCCTGCCCTCCCGAGTTCCAAACTCACATGCACATGGGTGGATGTGCTTTACCTGCTTACTTGTCAGGCAGCACTTGTTCAGTGTCAGTCTCTTCCACATTAATTAAAATGCAGCATCTGAAAAATACATGTATTATTCCATAATATCCAAGTATATCCCAGCTATCAATTGGGAAAAAATATATTTAGGTGAAGTCCTGTGGCTATCTACCTAGGTATCTGGGTTTTTTGTGCATGTTGGAGACCAGGAAATTCCCCAGGAAATAAGTGCAGGACAGTCCCTGAAACGCTGCCCAGAGCTTTGTGCCAGCAGGGGAAGGAGGGTATCTCCCTCAGCTGCTTCTTCACAACCCCTTGATCCTTTTCCCAAAGCCCTTAGTCTCGACTGGGTGATTTAATTTCACTTTTACTACAAAGAGCTATAGTTTGAAAGAGTTGTGAATTACGCATCTAAATACAGCCCGATGAAGGACAGTCAAAACATAATCACAAGCACAGTTTAAAAGTGCAAGGACTTTCTGAAGAAACTTAAGATAAAACAGTTCCCTGCTCCTGAAGAAATGCTCCCGCAGAGCCCCTTGAGTATTTAAAGATCTGATGTGTGCCTTTATTGCCTTATACAAGCCTCTTTCAAAACTGTTTGTTGGCAATCCTCTAAACCGACTGATACTCATCTCCCAGACGTCCCGAATCTACGGGGCCTCCCCACCAGAGTGCTTGATGATTTGTGTTGCTTTATAGCTTGCTCAAACACTTCTGTGAGAGGAGTGCATAGCAGTGACAAACGCTTCCAGAGTTCACCCAAGTTGGGATGGCGCTGCCGTGACATACAAAGCCTCATGCTGGGAGTAAATGTTACCAGGGATGCTCTGTGTATTGGAGAGACAAAGATGCTCTGTGTATTGGACACTTTTGTTGTTGTTGTTTCAAACTGTTATCCATGTGCTTAAGTGGGAAAGGAAAAATTATGGGACTATAGATTTAAATGATAGAATATTTTTTCCCCCGAGTCTGACATGTGACCCAGTGCATTTTCCTCAGCAAATGTGACATTAAAAAAAAAAAGCTATGTCTTTCTGCTATAAAGAACTTAAACAAACAACACAAAACACTTAGGATCTCAGATACATTTATGCACAGTCCCATCCATGTCAGTAAATATCCCTCCAAACATTTTTACAGGGTAAGACAGAAATCTCTCGGTCATGGGAGCTGGGACAGAATCCCTCCCAGAAGTGAGCTGTTCTACTCTAGTTCATGCAGATGATGCCCAAGGATTATCTAACAGGAGGAATGATGCAATTTTTTTTTTTCCTCTGTGTTTAACCTTTTACCTACATTCCTATTCTTTTTTATAGAGAGGCTGACCAAAACATGTTGCTTGGCAAGGTCTCTCTCCAACATAGTTAATCAGTATTACACACCCAGTAATTCCCTCTCTGTCCAAATAAATTTACTTGATATTAGATGCTCTCATCTCATGTGTTATTACATCCAGGGATCCTCATTTCCCATTCTCTCTGTCCCACTGTTAATTTTGTGCTTCTATATCTTTCCATGTTTTTGATCAGTATGATTTAATACAGTGAGAGAAATCTGAAGTCCTGGCTCAGTTTTCGAAGGCTTATCACTAGTTTTCTTGAGGAAATAATTGGATGACACAGAGTTTGCCTCATGAAAACACTGTGAGAAAGCTGGAAAGACAAGGGAAAAGTGTGAGAAAAGGAAGATGGCTGTACCTTCTTCAGGATAAGCACAGAACAAAAAGTATTAACACTTTCACAATCTTTTAAAATTACCCTGATACTTCTCTAGCAAAGAAATGTAGCAGGCATTGCCAACAATAGTTTGAAAGAGGAAAAAAACCTACTGTTATCACATATTTATAAAAAGAAAAGGAGAGAAAACAGATGTAAATGTGATCTACCTTCTGTGAAAAAGCTGTGTGCAGTTGTGGATAGACACACTGGCAAAACGAGTGTGTAGGTGTATCTCCTAACATACCTATGGGAAGCATGCACATACATTTCTCAAGTACATATGCCATGAACAATATATATGGAAGAAAAATTCTTAGAGAGATATTTAACAACACAGAAGTTAGAGTGTAGATTTTTGATTCTGTAAAAAAAATATAAACATTTTCACACAGGTACATCACCATGATGAGATATGTTGGCGAGACATTTTCTATATCCAGCTGATATTGTGCAGTGGCATTTCACCTGAACTTAGCTTCTTTTTTTTAAAGTTAAAGACTGTATTCCTTTTGAAATGCTGAAATTACAAAATCCTAGACAGCACATGATATCAGGATTGACATATGAGGTTTCCAGCCTACTGTTGTGTCCAAAACCAGAAGGAAGTACACCTGTAATCATTAATCATCATAATTGATGACATTTTGTTTCATTTGGAAAATATACTTTTTCATTAAAATCCACAATTTCACAAAGAAAAAATTTTTTCTTCTATTTCAGCTGTGTTTTCCTCAGTTTCTTTTCATGTAAAAACTGTGGTAGACAGCCCATCTGCCAAGCTAACGAAAAGGAAGGTGAAATGCTTTCTCTTTACAACATTCTGTAAAGAAAAAGATTAAAAGGTCACTTCATATTCTCAGGCTAAAAATTGGCTCCAAAAATATTTGTTTGGCCTAACAGTGGATGAAAATCACTACTTCACATTTTTTTCAGAATTCACTGATATGGGCAGTACATTTTGTTAGTAATAGGCTTATAGTTCCCTTTCTATATAACTAGTTTGCAGGAATTCATAGAGACATAACATACTAAAAGCTGTTACAGCTGTTACCCAAAACTGCTACAGCTGTTACCTAAAAACTTCAGAGAAAAATAGAAAGCATCCCAAAGAAAGACCTTATTAACATACAATTCAAACCTGTATTGCACATGGACATAGGGGTAGAGTTAGGGTTATTTTTCCAACTCTCTGTTCTTATCAACTGCTTTCTGAATGCTGAAACAAAGATTTCTTACCATAGTCTTAATATCATTTAGAGAGTGGTGAAGGTTAAAGTTTTGTTTTGCTTTAAGGATAGAAGAAAATTCCATCATCTGGAATTATTTAGCCAGTCACTTTGTGAGAACGTAAACAGAAATTCCCTTTTTGCTATGTATCTTGGAAAAAATAAAGGGCTGAGTGATTCTCCAAAGGTCTATTGAATCTGTACCATTTTTACCCTGGAAGGTAGGAAGAGAGCAATGGAAAAGCTCTTTTACAGTGTACTTCTGCTTGGCTGTTCCCTGCTCCTGAGTCCCCTGATTTAGGCATGGATGTACATTCAGCTTGGCCTTCATTTGCTGTGCATTTTCTGTGTTCGAGACTTCTGCCTGACCATGGGGGTACAGTTCAAGTCACTCAATGCTTTTTATGCTTTGGAGGCTGCCAAAATCCCGTTGAAGCAGCGGTGTGTATATATAACTTAAGCCTGGCCTTGCATGCTGTGCATATTTAGTAAACACAATTATTTGGATCCTACCATGTGGTTCTCTCATTCTGAATTTGTTATGTAAACAGAAGAGTTACAAGACTACTCAGTTTCTCCAGACTCCAGCCCTGAAAAAGTACCACTAACCATATATGTGTGTATGTGTGTGTGTGCGTGTGCAATTCACTGCTGCTGTTCTGACAAAAATAAGCCACAAAGTCCTTCATGAGACCAGAAGAGATTTCTCAAGAGCTTTATCTAATCTGGAAAAGTTTAGACCAGAAAGATGAGGATTTGGGGGCTTCATGGTTGAGGGTCTGGACTGGAGTGGAAAAAATTGTGTTGGGCAAACTACAGTCAGGCTACACCAGGTTTGTTCTTCAGGGTTAAATTCTCCACTGCCATGACAAGGGTGGCTTGGTCTATTCCCAGACATCATTCAGCATCCACAGCACTCGGCTTCCAGCCCACACAACCACCGGCACAATGCCTGGGAACTGCCTGGGAAGCACTGTGTGCTGTGAAACTAAATGGTACAAGTGACAATCCGAGCCATTTAAGAGAACAGTTTATGCAGCACGAGAGACAACCCAAATGAGATGCTGTGTCTGATCCCGCTTTCTGCTGAACCAACTCAGAGTCTTTGTCAGCTCCAGTGTATCTTTTAGCTCAGTAAAAAAAAATGCAATAATCTTTTTATCTAGTTATTTTACTGTGGCCATTTCTGTTACAGCAGGGAAGGAGCTGGCCTCCAATATAGGCTATCAAAATCCT